AGTTTGGTACGTTTAGGAGGATCAGTTTGGTACGTTTAGGAGGATCAGTTTGGTACATTTGCACTATAATGAAACAGAAGTAAAGTGGTCAGAGCAGCATGAGATGTGCGATAAAAAACAACCTCAAAAACAAAAAACATGTTTTCTCAGCACTGAACTGGTTTGTTTTTCACAGTTCAAAGCAAACTTGCTTCCTTTTCTATCACGGTTTCATCCATTTGGGGTGAAAGCCGTGTGACCTACATACAGTACGATGACTTCTAGACTAGAAATATTATTTTTGAGAGATTGCATGAGGCTGTTTGGGCCGTCGGTAGGAGAGGAAATGTGTTTGTGATGGACTCTGAATGACTGCTGCTGTGGGGAAGCCCTCACCTGCACACAACATGCAATGACTGAGAAGATCCACTTCAGTGTGAAGGTAAACTTGAGGGGGTTCGTTTGCACCTGGACGATGAAACTCGGATCAAACTAGACGTTGCAGATTGAGCACAAAGCTCACGGTGTACTTTGTGTACTTCGACATATGGCTGTAAAACAGGAAGCATCGATCGCATGCTCGTCTACGTATACTTTTAAGGCTATTTCATACATTTCTGTGTCCGCATTATGTAAATATATGCAAAGCATGTACGCTCCACAAGAAGACCATTACAGAGTGGTTTGTTTTGAAGAGAGGTTGTGTGAGGACGTCCACCCTCTAAGGAATACATAGACAGCCAAACAACGCTAGAATGTGCATCACCAACCAGAATGTAGTAACCAGACGGTAACCTCCGGTTCTGCTGAGTGAAGCCAAAGCTTCATGTGTTAAAGCTGCATTCTCTCTAGTGTCCACCAGGGGGCGACTCCTCTGGTTGTATAGAAGTCTATGAGAAAATGACTCTACTTCTCTCTTGATTTATTACCTCAGTAAACATTGTAAACATGAGTTTATGGTCTCAATCTCTAGTTTCAAGTCTTCTTCAATACAGCATGATGTTCATTTAGCACATTATGGTCCATTTAGAGTCAAACTGACCATAAAGCAGGGGATGCTTTAGGGCGGGGCTTAAGGTGATTGACAGGTCTCTACCAGAGACGTATACGGTGTCTCTACGTCACTCCTCCTCAGTCCAGATATGGTCACTTCCTGTTTACTCGTTGCGAAAAAAACAACATGGCATTGGCCTTAATCCAAGATGGCGATGGTGAAATCTTTTCTTTTCCACCTCAGATGTTGTCAGAACCATATTTTGGTGACGCTTTTGGCTGTGAGTCACCAGTTAACACGGTCACTCGGTAAACTGAAACACCTGTGGCTTTGAAGCGGTGGTGATCCTGTCTGAATCCTGGAGAAACAAGCAGACATTCTGATGCTGGTAACAATTTTAATTAACGTTTAAAGCTTGATAACTCGTCCGGATGTCTGGAGCAAAACAACACTTCTGTTGCCAACATGCGCACTTTATATTTTTGATGGCGTCGGCTGTAAAATAAGTCCTTTTTAAACACAGCAAACGCCACTAAACAAACATGAGATATCTATGGATAAATGATTGACAGGTGTAGAAACACCACAGCATTGACTTTCTCAACACCATCAAATATTCAACAACGCTCAACAGAGTCTCACGAGCTGGAAGATTTATATTTCTTTGTTGTTGGTCTCAACAGATATCCACTAAAGATTTTCTGGTATCCAGCCAGAACGTCTGGTCCCACGTTCAGCAGCAGCATTAATGAGATCTGATTCATACATCAGCCTCAGAAGCAGTCTCACCCCATTGCTTCATCTTTAATGGGCTCACACAGACCGTCTGGGAGCTTCTCTCTTTGATTCCATGGCTGCAGCATAATGAAACGACTCCTCTCTCTGCACCTGGCTGCATTTCTTCTCTTTCTTCTTGACCTGTAACGTTTCAGACGAACACACTGCGGTCGCGTCGCTGAGCTCGTTGGGCCGATACCTTCCAGAAGAGGACGGAGAGACGAGAGAGAGGCAGCTGCTGATAGTTAAGACGTTTCCTTGTGAGGAGGAGGAGGAGGAGGAGGAGGAGGAGGAGGGGGAGGGAAGGAAGGAAACAAGGGGAGTGCAGGGTTTGTTGGTGGCTGGAAAGAGGAGGAGGTTCCTCTATTTTGTTTTTTTCTACGCAGTCGTCGGCGAGAGGCAGCGCGAGCAGACGGCTCGGGGAGTTCCTTTTCTTGATTTTTTTATTTTTTATTATTTCTGTATGTTGGTGTTGCGCGGCGGTGCGTTCAGGGTGCAGCATGGAAGACAAGTCTCTGTTCAGTCTGCACAGAGCGCTCGCTCAGCCCGTCAAGATGTGCATGTTCGATTTCCCCGTCACCATCCTGGACGACCTGGTGAGCGCCGCAGAGAGCTGTATGTGTGTGTGCGTGTCGGTTGGTGTGTGTGTGTGTGTGTGTGTGGCTGGATCAGTGCATCATTCCCATCACAAAAAGAGAGTTAAATGTCTGTTTTCGTGCAGTTTTACCAGACAAAACACTAAATATTATACTTTATAATTAAAATACATATCACCTTAATATCCAGATGTTTGTAGGAATATGTAGGTGTGTGTGTGTGTGTCTCCAGTGCCGCAGCATGTATATCTTAATGTGTGAGTGTGTACATGTGCAGGCCTGCAGCTGTGTGCTTGTGTTTATTTGTGTACTTAGACACATGTAAATGTGTGTGTAGTTAATATATATATATGTGTGTGTGTGTTGTTTGCGTGGTTCACAGTATTAACACCTGGATGGTTGTTTTCTGGTCCGATCCAAAAGCTGATTTTGCTGCTTTTCTCTACTTATTTTATTTTTGGGTTTCACACCGCGGACTAATTAACAGCCAATTAGTGCTCGTGAACAAACGTCACATGACTCACTGGAAGTTTAACGAGCTCAGAAACGAGTCAGCGGCCCCTCAGCTAGTAACGTGGTGCCTTGTTCTGTCCTGCTCTGCTCTCTCACCTCACCATGACCCTCTGGTTACCTTCATGATGATTATGATGATGATAATGGTGATGATGATGATGGTGATGATGATGATGTGTTTACCTGGATTTGCTTCTGGCTGTCTGTGTTTAATTGCCCCACATGGGAACATATGTTTTTAAAAATAATTGTTCTTCCTCATCCACGTGGACACAACTCAAGATAAAAACGAATTGATCTTTGCGTGTGTGTGTGTGTGTATATATATGTGTGTGTGTGTGTGTGCGCGTGTGTGCCCTCTGATATTCTGACATGTTTGGTCGTGTCTGTAGTAATAACAATAATCCCACATGGCCTGATGAACGTGTTCCTGTGTCAGCGTGTTAATAAATGCTGAGGCTGAAAACAGATTTAACGCTGATATTAAACCTGGAGGGTCACAGACGGTTCTCTGTCGTAAACAGATCTATTTGTTCATATTTAACGATGTATAACGATTTGCAAAATTATCTTATTGAGATTGTTTTGACTGATATTTGAGGGATTGATCATTTTTACATCAATATTCTCATTTTTAATGATTTTAAAAACATATAAACGCGATCATGGTGTTATTTTTGTGTGAATCTGAACCGAACTTCTCTTAGATCTGTAGAACACGATGTGTAGCTCGGGACGTCGCAAGATTCAATTTAAAAAGGTATTTTGAAAAATATTGCATCTCAATCTCAAATTGAAAACTGCAGCGGGCCATATTGAGATTTCGATAGAATTTAGAATAATTGTTCTTGTGTCCCTTTTGAATTGATAATGGTTTATAGATTTTGGACTAAAATTAGCTCATTCTTATTTTATTTTATTTTTTTATCGCTCTGTATCCGGTGTTTAAATCCACACAAACTGCCTTGTTTTCCCATTAAAAATACTCTTTTTAGCGTCTTTTTCCAAACATAAAAACACTATATGGCCAAAAGTGTACTGGAGGTTCCTTAGTTCAAGTTAAGGGAACCCCTCAATGCTGCAGCGTATAGTAATATTTCAGACAGTTATTCCTCCAGCTGTGTGTAGCGTCTGTCCTCGTATAGCTCTCCACCTGTGGACATCCTGTCTACTGAGTTCTAACCTGCTGCAGAGCCAACGACCTCATATAAACTAGTCTTCCTGTGGAGCACCTCAGGTCATGTTGTTGTATGAAATCCAACGATAATATTGAATTAGATCTGATGCTCTGCAGTGTGAGACGCGTTCTCACCCGATTGTGTTTCACGCGTCCTGGATTCCTCCTCTGGAGTTCACATGAAGTCACTCTCGTTCTCTGCTGGTCCCGTTTGAGATGAAGTCCAAGACTAGTGGTGTTGGTTATTATTAAAGTGAAACCACAAGTCTTCTGTGGCTCTGGAGGAGCTTCGTCAAGTCTGATGAAGTCACAGTGAAGTCATCATGTTCTCTAAATACACAGAGAGTCTGTGTTACAAACACTGTGGAAGATGCTACTGAGTGCATTATGGGAAATGTAGTATCCTGGGTTTTTAGGTGCTGGACCTGGATATAAAATCAGTATTTCTTGTAGAATGTAGTTTTTTAGCGAGGAACTTGAATGACTACGGTCGTTTTAAGATGTTTTTACAGCAATATAAAATAGATATTACAGAGGGAATTATGACCTGTTTAACTATTTCATGTTTTTAATACACTGTTATTGAATCAATACTCGGTGGTACACAAGTTCAGGTCTTGCAATCTGTATCGGTCGGGAAGAAATGGAGCAGAGATGTGAGAACTTGTTGACAGCCAACGACTCTCTAAAGGAAATGAATGGATGTCTGCAGACTTGTTGATAGCGTGTTGATTCTCTGAGGAAGTATTTTATCAAAGCGTCAACATTGAGACATCTTTTCAACAAACAACTGGAGCATTTTATTCATCAACAATTAGATATGGTGCACAATTACACTCCTGCCCAAGTGTTATGGGCAGGAGAACAAATATGCAGATTTTCTTCTTCCTCGAGCAGTTATTGTACCGTCGCTCTTTGCTCCCACTCGGTCCCCGAAGCCCCCCCCCCCCCCCCCCACAGATGATCTGGTGCTGATCTGAGTCAGGCTGTCTGAACGGCAACTGAGTCCAAAGGGGATCAAGCTGAGAGGCTTAAGTCTAGAAAAGGGCAGAAAAAGGTCAGGAAGCAAGGCGAGGAAGGAGACACAAGGCTGGAAAGCTTCAGCTTACGTAGCACAATAGACAATTTGGCAGAGAACAATGGCTCGAGGGGAGGTGTGTTTACAGTGGGGACACACTGGGGACCACTACAGGACACGGAGGGACACGGAGGGACACGGTGTTAGCGACTCGCTACAGAGCAAGAAAGATGTCTTCACATTTAGCTTTCTCTGTTCTTAGCTTTCTCTCTGTTGTTGCTTCTCCGACACACAGGACGCTGGTTAGTGAGCTCAAATTGTTCACTGATTTTGCACCATAAAGTGTCGGTTGGTTCTGAAGACTACAAGTTTTAAAATAAAGAAAACATCTGGAGGAGCTACATAGAAGTGAGCTTACCAGACTTCTGTTCTAGAGCTGTACCCAATGTCCTGTTGTTTGGCTTCATCATGTTTTATGACCTTAATCAACCTAAAAGAAAAAGAAGCCAGAGCCTCACTATGAACTAAGTGATCCATCAGATTAAATGAGTTGGACTTTCTTTGATGGATGTTGCTTGTGAGTCCTGCTTCCCTTTGTTTTTAAAGGCTAAACGACAACAAATATGGATTGAAGCAGAAGCAGACTTTTGGAAATGATAACATTAATCTCTTTTCAATACATATTGACTGTTGGACTTTAAAACGCTCTGGAGTTATTGGAAGTGTTTGGATCCCATGAGTCTGAAGCAATCGTACGCAGCCACCACTGGAATCTAACTCTACAAGTAGCATAATGCTAACAATGTTAGCGTCACCTTTATCTGTAGAGGTGCAGAAATACCCGTTTTAACACATTGAATGGAGGTGCTGCGGTACAGCCTATAGTCTGTAGCATAGCACACCTGACTGTCGGAGGTCAAGATGTATTCTGGGTAATGTAGGCGCCAGAGTTTTTTTGAAGGGGAATGAGAGGATTTAGGTCTAAACACTGTATGGACTATAGACAAACAGAAATCTGAAACAGATCTTGTTTATTTCTCATTTTCATGTACAAAAAGTTGCATAATATTTTAACATTAAAGGAGTTTATGAACATTAACCTAGCAGCTAACAACTGTTATCTTTGTAAAGATGTAGTGGAGCAATGGTAAACACCGTTAGCTCTGTCACCACTTTTCACAGTAGTTTCCACTGTTAGCACCGTTAGCTAGCAGCCTCCTGCTCTGCGTCGCCATGTTGAGAGCCGTTGAGAGGCAATCAAAATGCTCCCAATCTCAGATCTTACACCTTTAATATAGACATCATAGTTTATGTGGCTAAACCGATACCAGATAGATTCACGTTGTTTTTTTCAAGTTGTGAAATTAGTTTTTTCTCAACAGATAACAGAAGCAGCACTGGAAGTAGCTAAATGCAGATAGACAACATTCATTTGTGTACAAAATAGGATTATTTATAATCTGACAGAAATACCTCACAAGAGAGAAAGAAACAGCCTTTGAAGCGGATAAAATGAAACGGTGAAGCTCGGTTTGATAACTGATTCTGAAGGATGCCGTCGCTCTAATCAATAAAGAAATGCAGAACAATAACAATAAAAACAACAAACAGCGAGAGGCTGCTTCATGTCTCTCTTCAGCCTGGATGGTTGTCAGGTTGCCTCTCCCATGCGATCTCCCAGTTGGCTGCCGTTGACACGAAACAGCGTTTTTAAATGCCAGGACCTCGGAGGAGGACCTGAATGGCTCTGCCGGGATAATGGCCGGAGATAAATCCAGCGGCTGTGAGAGGCAGCTCAGACCGGCTCCACAGGGTGTGAATGGGAAGCTTCTTCTTGTCTCTGTCCGTTGCTGGGAAACTCCGTCGTGAGGTTTCATTTCCCAGAGCAGCAGGAACAGAGCGCGTGTCTGTAAATGGAAAACATAAAAGGGTCAGGTGGCTTGTTTCAAGTTGCTCTTCAGGTAAACCAGATGTTCTTCCACCTGCCTTGTGTTCTTCTTTATTTACTGAAAAGTATGAGCGTCCATATTGTACATCCAGACGAGTTATCGAGCTTTAAACATTGATTTAAAACAGTAAACAGCATCAGAATGTCTGCTTGTTTCATGTTCGGTTGTCAGAGTCGATATTCCAACAACGGACTCGAGTTCTATCAGGACCGGTTCAGAGCAACAGGTGTTTCAGTTAAATGAGTGACCGTGTTAACTGGTGACTCTCAGCCGAATTCATTCAATGGTTGGTAGATTATAAACACATATTTAAAACTGGTTGAAGGTTTTTCACAACGAGCAACCTCGACTCATTCTGCTGAGTCACCAGTTAACACGGTCACTGGTGAAACTGAAACACCAGCAGCGTCTACAGCTTCAAGCTGTTAACCGTGTTGACTACCACTGGACTGTGTCTTAAAGCTGAATCAAGTGAAAGCTCTGAGTGTCTTCATGGTGTCTGACGTTCTGTTCATGAACACAGAGAACAGAGTTGATCATCTAGTGACTTGTAGCTCCTGATGTCTCTCTGGTGGAACGTTACACACATACATATTTATATCTGGACACTAAATACTGGACCACCAGCTGATGTCTTCTACTCCCTGATCTCTTTGTTTAGGTTGAGTTCTCCATCTTTGCTGGTTAAAGTTCTCACATAGCTCCTCAAGCTGTTGCACACAGATGATATCTGGTCACCTGGCAAAGTTAACCACTGATGTATTCTCTGTGGGTGCTAATATTTCCCTCCTTTAGTGAACCAGGGAAGTCCCTGTGGGTGTCACTGCCTCATCTTTAGCTTTCATTTTCTGTCTGACGGTGCTGAAGTGTCTGAACACCGCAGCGTTGCTGTTGTTGCATCACTTCCAGGTTTCACTTCACCTTTGACGGACCTGCTGGACTGACTGCTCTAGTTTCTGGAAACCCCTTCTTTCCTCGGCACAAGTTAATTTTTTCTAGTTTTGCTCCTCGCGTTATTGACTCAGCTGGTAAAGCAAATATGCTCGAGCAGAGCGGCGGTGGGGGGGTCCATCCAATCTGTGTTGAGGGGAGTGGGAGCTCCGGGGGCCCGGTCATGGGTTTGTAGGACTATTTGGATCCTGAGATCTCTGCAACGGTTCTGAGGGGAGTCGTGATGTTGTGCTGGAGCCGGTGGAGCTGTGGACTGCTGCTCAGGACAGGCGTCTGCTGGGACGGGGACGACTGTTACGGGACAGTCAGGAGGGCGGGCAGACAGGTTTGAGTCATGTTCTCTCTTGTTTTCGGACATAAATCTCTCACCGTAAAGAAACATGGCCACTCGGTGTCTCTCTGAGGACACGGAGACTTTACTGTCAGTAGAACTCTGTGGAACCAAAAGGTCTCCGGCCTCAGTCTAACTTCATGTATTGTTGTGTAAAACACTCATGAACGTTTGTCTCTCAGAGCCGGCTGAAATAAACCATCTTCATTCACAAAGAATGAAGACATTATGAAGACAGTCGTGTGTGTGTGAAACACAGAACGCTCCCAAATCACAACTCTTCATGGTGAAGACTGAAACATATTTGTGTTATGCCTTTATTGTGACACCATTCAAAGTCTGGATATGTGTAAAGAAATACATTTCTAGATCTGCATGGAAACTAAAGTATTAAAGGGACAATTCGTGAGATTTTCAGTTCCTCATAATGAAAAATACATTTGCAGGAAATGAACAGAATCGCTGTTTAAAAGACGGTTGAGGAGCCGATCAGACAGAGAAGCTGTTTCTTTTCTCCTTTAAATGGTTCCATATTCAGTGCTTCAGAGTGTTCACAGTGTGCTCTCAGTACTGTGATACGTACAGAGTGTCCTGGTTAACATGCACATCGTCTTAACACAGCGTCTGATTTAAGAGGGAGCTTTGTTGAATGTCAGACACTTTTCTCTCTCCTGACGTCATCACATGGATGTAAAAGTGCAACAAAAACATCTTTAAAAAGAAAACGTATGCTGACGTATCGTCACCACTTGTAGAACAGATACAAGTATTTATTTACAGACTCGGACTTTGTCCCAAACTTGTGGACTTTAGACTTATTTTCATGTTGACGGCTGTGAGACTTGTCTTATTTGACGAGGGGGGGGGGAGGTTCAGTTCAGCAGAAAAATAACAAACAATTGCACAATGATCCATTTTATTTGTTTATTAAGAACACAGCCGTGTCTGTCAGACTAAACCTTTGGTTTGGTGTTATTGACTTTTTATTATGAAAATAAAGAACAACTTTATTAACTCATTTATTTAATTCATTCACAGAACTGAAACATTTTGTATTTTAGAGATAATCTGTTATTCATGTGAATGTATTGATTAGTGCAGCTTTAAATCAGCAGCAGAGGAAAACGTGACACCTTCACATTTTTTGAACCCTAAAAACTCATTCAACTAAACACAAGAAGTCTTTCCTGTGACTTCTTCATGAGCAGTCGCTGTTACGCTACATCGATGTTTTATAATCCGTTTATTCTCCGTGTATTAGTTGTGTAACTCTGTCCTCCCTCCAAGCTTTTCATTTGTTGGAAACATTGTGCGCCTTGGCAGCAGCCCAGTGCAACCACAGACCTCCACTAGGGCCCAGTGAGCCTCCACTGGGGGGCGGAGTGCCTTGCTCAGTGGCGTCCTGACAGCCCTTTCACAGAAGTATAAGTAGAGAGTTTTAACCTCTCCGGGATGGAAATCTTTTGCCACGTTGACGTCCATTTTCTCTCGTCTCTTGCCGGGTGTGGTCGTCCTCCTTTAAATAAACGGCTCTTCGTATCTATTTGTGTTTGAGTGAAGCCGTGTGCTTTGTGAGAGAGCATAAGTAAAGATGGAGGGTTGTTAGCGTCGCTCTCCTCGGGGATCAGTAGAGCATGTCGCAGCAGCAGCAGCACAACATCCTCTGGTATTGATTTCCAGCAGATGGGAGCAGAGCTTAGCTTAAATCACAGCAGACTTAAAGTTGTCCGTTCCTCTGAGCTCGCAGAGATCTCTGGGATTCAGACCATATGGGTTTATTTATTCCTTACCGGGACAAGAATACCATGTTTGGACTGAGGAGGAGTGACGTAGAGACGCCATGTATGCCTCTGGTAGACCTGTCAATCACTGTGTAGCCCCGCCCTAAAGCATCCCCTGCTTTATGGTCTGTTTGACTCTAAATGGACCATAATGTACTAAATGAACATCATGCTGTATTGAAGAAGACTTGAAACTAGAGATTGAGACCATAAACTCATGTTTACAATGTTTACTGAGGTAATAAATCAATAGAGAAGTAGAGTCATTTTCTCATAGACTTCTATACAACCAGAGGAGTCGCCCCCTGGTGGACACTAGAGAGAATGCAGCTTTAAGACATGAAGCATCGGCTTCACTCAGCAGAACCGGAGGTTGACTCCTGGTTTAATCTGATACTAATATGAGTCCTGGTGTACAATCTACCAGTAGTGCAAAGAACATTGTCAGAAAAAGTAAACACTGGTGTCTAGCATGCTGCTCTGAGTCGTTCCTCCTCAGGTTGTATTACTGGAGTACAGCACAGATCAGACAGGAAGCACTCACATTAAACACTTTTACTACAGGGCAGACTTTCTTTTAGGTTTCGACGTTCTGGTGTCAGGTGCACTGCAATAAGTCTCATTGCAGTTTGATTGATGTGTTCATGTTGACGAGCTGCAGTGTGAGAAAAGGCTGACAAACACTCTTTACACTCTTTATACTCTTTATACTCTTTATACTCTTCATACTGGTCATTCCCAAAGACTGTGTGCAGGAGAGTTTATTAGGGCCGCATTTATATTTTTATTTCACCTTTTAACCACATGATATCAAATATAGACCAGTACATTGTGTTTGTTTAACTGTCTGTTAACGCTGCCTAAATGCATTTATTTGGTCTCATTTATAACGTATTTATTGTGTATATCTTCTGTCCTTATTTGTGTGATTTCATATCTCGATAACGATATATATGACGATATGGCAAGTTTTCTGTTGATCCAATAAATAAATAGTCTATATGGAATAAACACATGTTTTTCATAAACTCTTGTGTGAGTTAAAAACTAGTATTTTCTCATTTTATTTAGAATATAAATGCAAAATAATCAGATTTTCTCAGAAATATTAGTTAGTATTTGCTCGTTATTATCAATTTAGACGCAGAATTGTGTATCGCGATATTTGGATGTATGATTCCATTAAAAGAGGATAAATGATCTTGAACAAAGAGTTTAATTGATTTATTCAGTGACAAAACCAACCAATTAATCAGACTTCTCGTCTGACGTCTGACCACCTAACATTTTATTTTTCATAAACAGTTTAGATTTAATTTGACTTTCTGTATTTAAGATCTGCTGACGTAAAAACTGTATTTTTATACTTTCTGTTTCACGATCAACGCTGTTCTACAGGCCCCTCACCACACACACACACACACACCCACACCCACACACACACACACACACACACACACACACACACACACACACACACACACACACCAGCAGCTGCAGCCTTCATTGAGTTATGAAGCGCAGCAGCTCGGCCGGTGGAGGTCAGACATGTTTGTAGTTCTATTCGTCTCTCAGCTGGTGCAGCAGATGTTCTCCTTTACAATCTGCTCCATCACTCTCACACCTGTTCTTACAAAAAATAACATATTTGGAAATAAATAACCTTGATTAAAGTCCACCATTACTCATGTGTGAAGGGGCCGGTCTGCTGCGTTCGTTTGCTTTGTCGACATATCTTCCTCTCGTTTGAACCGGCTGGATGAATTAGAGTCACTAATCATTTTCTAAGCTCGGCAGACATCTTATTAAGATGATGGATCTCTTGGTGTGGTGGTTGTTCCTGCTGCTGGCCAGTAGGGGACAGTGCTGGGTGTCTAACTGACGGAGGCTCCTTCATCAGAGATGAGCTCAGACTCACCTTCTTCTTCTTCTGGTGGATCTTTGAGTTTAGGTGGAGTTTGTTTTTCAGAGTTTTCATGCATTCGTTCTTATTAGTTTGCTGGTTTATCGTGAACTTTAACTTGTTGTTGTTGCTGACCGTCATGAAAGAAGTGCTCATATTTAGCAAATATGTATCTTTTTTATTATTGCAGCTTTTCACACATGATTTATATATCATTGTGAATTCATGTGTGTATTTTTATGTTTATTTTTGAATGATTAGTCGATTTAAAATTAAACATTTGAGACATCACCTCACATCAACTAAAAAAAAAAAAATTCTGACATTTTATAGACCGAAGAAACCAAATGAATCATTATTTAAAGCAAATAATAGTCAGATTAATCAATAATTACACAATCATTAGTTGTATTCTTACTCAGATCTTTGCTTCAGAATAAGTCTAAAGTAAAAGTCATTAAAAATGTTATTTAAATAAGTGATGACGGCACACATTATGCAAAATAAGAATTATAATATATATATATAATATAAATATATTAAAGTTACACAGTGCAGCATTTTCAAACTGAAAAGTTTAACTCATTTTAAATACTTTAAACACTGCTGGGTAGATTTTGCTTTATATTTTTAAAAAAAAGTGACGACTGAAGCTCTTTAATGTAACTGGATAAAAATGAAGTAAAACTTTCAGTGTTTCCCTCTTAATGTGGAGGGGAAATGAAAATACTGATGTACAAGTACCTTTAAACTGTACTCAAGTCTAATGTTCATGCAGAGTCAGTGAACTCTACATCATGTTTTCTTCTTCTCTCATACCAACCTGCTGCCATAGTGAGAGCAGAAACAACACTCACGTCATTTCCCAAAGGCATGACGTAACGCTGCCTTCAGGAACACCTCGTAGATCTGTGATTCACAGAGGACACGTTGTCAGAGGACACAGAGAATAGTTCTTGTTAAGAAACAGAAACGACTTCATTAAATGTCATATGGTACTAATTCATATCGGTGACTTTAAGGAACATAATGATCTGTTATTATTATAATCATATTCTGATATTCTAATATTATATATAAATGTACATTCAGCATTTTAAATGCATATTCTGAAAAGGGAAAATTTAGTAAGTGGCAAATAAATAAAATAAGTAAATTCTACTGATTTATAGGGAGAAAACCAAATGTGGAAAATGATTATGATATATTATTTATTCCAAAATCAACTATTGAAAATTTGGATAAAAGAAAACTTACAAAAGCAGTTTAAAAACAAGGCTAAATAAGTACTGAACATTATGAACACAACA